AGGGAGACTGACGGGCAGAGAACTGAACACAGGTCTCCTGAGCATGAAGTCAGACATTCACACAGGAAGATAAACTCCCTACCCGAAGATATTTCACTCTAAAAACACAACACAGATGACGTGATTTATCTCAACAGCACACAGAGGCAAGTGAGCAAAGAGAGAATGAAGCTGAACTTTTGAAAGGAAACTCAGCCTGTGCCTGAAATGCAAGGAGAGCTCTGCTCATGTTTCTCTACTACAGAGTTATCTCGGACAAAATACTCACAGAGCATGAACTGCATCATCCACCCTGCCTCAGCCCCAGCATCCAGCCCCTCTCACTGGCAAGAACAGCATGTCACAGAGATTAGCTACAGGCAGAAAGGACTTTGGGAACTGCACTCACCTTCCAGTGGCTCAGCCCATTGCTACAAGGGGAACCTGCAGGCACGAAGATCAGCCAGACCCAAATCCAGAGCCAGACTTCTAATACCTGCTGTTGCTGCCTGAGCCCTTCTACTCACACCTCCAGTCAAGGCATAAGATAGGGGGGAAGTGCACTGAGATCTTAGCTGTGGGAAGAGCAGCTCCACTGTTAAGTCCCTCAGCCTGCTTTCCCTGGGAACGGACATGGAGGGGACAGTCTTTCACAGAAGAGCCAGGATTATTGGGCCAGATACTCATGAGATTGTGGGCAAAAACAATGAATGACCCTGAACCAAACCCAACCCAGCTGCTCCAGAGCCCATCCAGCTTCTGTTACCCAAGGGGAGAAGAATCCTTACTCAGCCAGTTCACAGCCTCATAATTCTCCTGCATCACATCCCTGTAGAGGGATCTCTGGCCTGGGTCCAGCAAAGCCCATTCCTCCTCAGAGAAATACACAGCCACCTCCTGGGCACTAATTGGCTCCTCCAGGGCCATCTCCTGTCCCTGGCTCTGAAGGCTGGGGGCTGAGCTAGAGACAGACATGGGTGTTCTGCAGCCTGGAAGGGGGAGAAGGGGCATTGGAGACATTTCAGAAGGGGCTTTAATCCTTTCCACACCCCCATTCTCCCCAGACTCTGTCCCTAGTGACGTGACACACGTGTTAGATTCTGCCACTGTGGACAAAAGTTTTAGTCTAGATATTCTATTAACAGCGCACGGGACTTAGATCCCAAATCCATATTCATTTCTCTCTGTACCTGGCTTGAGTTACAAGATTACTGCATCTGCAACAATGGGATATAGTTCTCAGCACCCAGTGTTTCTGATAACAAGCCACATATTCATTTGCCTGAACATGGACATAGGTTAAATGCAGGCTGCTGTATTTAAAACCCTTAGTCTTCATTCACAGATTTGCAGCACAAACTTTGCTCTCATCTCTCAGAGATGTTATAAACCCTTTCCACAACAGAGAATCAGTGAAGTTAAGCATCTGAATGGTAGTGTTGTTATTTAACACGTGTGCTTATTATTAAACACTTGTACTGAGTGTTTGCAGGATGAGATCTTCAGATTCCTGGTATCAAAAGATATCCTCAGTCATGCAGTCTGACCCCCTCAGTGGCACAAGTCATTACACTTAGTCCGGTTACCCAGGCAGAAAGCTGTTTCCTCACAGTATATTTTCTAGAAAGTCCCCCAGTGATATGAAGACATCAAGAGATGGGAGAATCCACCAGTTCTTTGTTCATTTGTTTCAGCAGCTAATCCGCTTCCCTATCAAACATTTGTGCCTCTTTTCTACTCTGAAATAGTCTGGTTTCAGCTTTCAATTATTGGCTCTCACTGAGCCATATCCATTCGAAGAGGTGGGCCAAATAGAAAGTGGCTGAGAGCTGCACTCTTCCATGACATAAATGCAGGAAATGGAGGATCCGGGATGGGCATTGGGATAAGGAGGATGCTTGGGGTAATGGTTTGGGATGCAGGACAGATAGAAGGGACTAGGAGGGAGGTTGGGTGAGGGAGTCTTTCAGCCTATTTCTTGTTTGAAACCATCCCTATATTGAAACTGACTGAGCAGTGAAATCTGAGCCTGAAGGTGCCGTTCGTTTTGTGCTTTAACTTCACCCCTTTAGCATCACAAACCTATAGACCAGTGTTTCTCCAAGTGTCCACAGGTCCCCATGCAGCACCCCTGGGGCTCCTCATAAATCACTGGGTGATTTAGGGCTGTGTGCACAGTGGTCCCTGGGTTTGGTTGGTAACTCCAATGACAATCCCATGAAGATGTTTTCACAGGAATTGTCATATCACTTAAAGAATTTCCACCAGCAAACTCACCTTGTTTGATAGCTCCAAGGGATTTTCTTCTTGCTCTCTCCAGTGCAGAGGGCAGAGTGTCTAGTGGGGGAAGGGATAAGAGAGGTGAGATTCCAGGCTCTCCTATTTATAACACTGTCCCCATGCTGAACTCTGCATTTCAATTCTATCAGACACACACTCAGGTATTTAGTATGAAAGAGTCTGAAACTTTCATTACCTCTCTCACTTGGGCACCTCTCAGCAATGGAGCCAATATCCCTGCAGCCTCACACCTGTCCCAGGAGAGACAAGTTGTAAATGAGATTTACTCTTCCCTCCTCATCCCCTTCCACTTGGTTTCTCATTCACTTAGGGTATGTCTACACTACAAAGTTAGTTCGAACTAACGGACGTTAGTTCGAGCTAACTTTCATAGGCACTACACTAGCGCTCCGTTAGTTCGAACTTAATTCGAACTAACGGAGCGCTTAGTTCGAACTAGGTAAACCTCATTTTACGAGGATTAAGCCTAGTTCGAACTAGCTAGTTCGAATTAAGGGCTGCGTAGACCCTTAATTCGAACTAGTGGGAGGCTAGCCCTTCCCAGGTTTCCCTGGTGGCCACTCTGGCCAACACCAGGGAAACTCTATTGCCCCCCTCCCGGCCCCGGAGCCCT